CACGCAGGCTCTCTGAGGCCTTTCTGAAGCTGCAGGACATTTGTCGCACAAACAACAGAAAGAGCTTATTACAATCTATTGGCATCATTATTACAACAATTGACTGCGACGAGGAGATGTTATTATCATTCATAAGCATCATTTTCTCACATTTCAATCTTGACGTGTCTGCGTTTGTAAAACCTAAAAACCTTAAGGTTTTCCAATGTTCCTGTTTCTTAGAGACAGACCAAAAACAGAACCGAAGTTAGTATATGATTGTAACCTGTAACTATAAGTTATCACTGAGCTAACGTTAGCATGTAGCCTACCTGCTAACTACTTTCATTAAATCTTACGCTGAAGATGACACACGAGCGCGTGCACAGGTCCAAACATCACGTGAGTGATTACCCTTTTACATTTTGACGTCTGAGTCGAGAGTGTACCGTTTAAAAACCCCAACACTGCTGGAGAAAGGTACTTACCTCCTTGCAGCTCCTCTTCCCTGTTTACTTCCTCATGACCAGCCACATGACTTTGCTGCTGGGTGTGTTTGATTCTGTTCACCCACTGCCCCGGAGTCGAGCGGGAACAACTTTGTCAAACGCTTTGACCTCCACTACATGGTAATAGGCTGATGTATTATTGCTTGTTTTATTATCGAAACACACCATGGCATAAACGTTCCTGAATTTATAACATGTAATAAGAAGGGCAGCTAAGATTAACTGAAGCAGGTGTTCTGGGAATCCATCCTACCTGACAAACCATCCTACCCGTTGTTTCTGCGTATGCGCACAACACGAATTTAAGTGGCGAACCGTCCTACCTTTGTGAATGTGACCTACAAGCATACTTTAACAGCTAAAATTAAGTGGCAAATCGTCCTACCTTTGTTCATCTGAGCTAGAAGCATATTTTAACAGCTAAAATTAAGTGGCAAATCATCCTACCTTTGTTAATAAGATCTAGAAACATACGTTGACGGGTAAAATGAAGTGCCAAACCGTCCTGGCTTTATGAATATGAGCTACAAGCATACTGTGATGGGCAGAGTTAAGTTAAACCTAGTTAAATTTGTAGTGAAAAAACTCTGTGACAGCAGAAATGTGCATAAACTACTTACGGTAGGACGTTTTGCCAAAGGAGGGTTGTTTGTCAGAACACCTGTACTTTGAAGTCAAATCAAGCAGATCCCTTATGTTTGCATATTTCCGCTAGGTGGCGACAGAGATCCACTAAACCCTCAGTTTGTCTTTCTCGCTGCTGCTGCACCACACACTCAGGACCAGACTGTGTGCAGGTTTCTTGCTCCACAGGGATAGGATCTAAACTGAAATTAAATCCACAGGGAAGAAATTCAAAATATGGTTTGCAGTCGACAAATATCACCCCCTAAAAAAAAGTGTTTTCTTGCAGGCATCTGAAACAGACCTTTCTCTAACTACTGTTGCATGAAAATATATTTGCCTGAAGCATTATTTTTGCATGTTCCCAACTTGGATTAAAAAATAAATACATTTTTTAAAAATAAAAAAAAAGTTTCTATGACCAGCACATGGCCACCATGGATGAATTAGCACAAGCCTTCATTTTTCCTTCAAAACTCTGATTGAATTGGAGCTTTATTGCCGATAAGTCTAACACGCTGGCAGGCCCTTCCCTCAAAGCAGTGTGAGCCAGAGGTTAATAGCATTCAGATGGCGAGAGCTGTTTGTTTGACCTGCCACCTCTCTGTGTGACGAGAACAAGGTTTCATCTCAATCACGGGCCATTTGATGTCGTTGTGTGCCACAGCAGACTGTACAGTGTGCCCCCCCCCCCATAATTAAATTCCAACGTGGTGCAAGGGCTGACAGTCTTTTCCTGCAAAATTGCTTTATCATCTTAACCTCATCTTATCTCTGAGATACAAAAGACTCTCTGTCTCAGGCTGTTTTTACAGATTGCCCTTAATGGTTTTAAGTTTCATCATTAGTGCAGAGTAGTGACTGACAAGGAAATGGGACACGGGGTGTAACATATGGCAAAAGAGGGCTATGCCTAATGTGCTCCCTTTCTCGCCCAGCCACTGGAGTAGCATTATTCCAAAGCGTTTTATAGAGAGAACCCCTGACAGAGACCGATGCAATTTAGATTCACTGCTTGCCTCTTCATTGACCCAGCTGTCCACATGCTACACGCTGTGTCCCTGCAGCCGATGGATTCATTACCTGTTTACCAGCACACCAAGGTCACATTCTCAGTAGCACCTGGGTCAGCTATATGGGTTTCCCGGGAAGCATCATGAAAGGTTTTCACTAATGAGGTCTCTTATTACACACCTTCTTCATTAACCTTCAGGGGCCTTGAGGCTTTCCTGTGCTTGTTATCTTGATTGGTCTTTCTGGGATCTCACTGCAGAACTGCTTTAATTCTAAAAATATTAGACAAATGTGTACAGCGGGGAAAAAA